TGGCATTGGTGGCGTGACCTTATGCCACAAAAGGAGCGGGACTGCTTGGTTACACACACCTAATATAACAGGGCTATGTGACATTACCCATTCAGTACAGATCAAAGTGGGGGTTTTACAAGCGTTTCGGGGGGGGGGGGTGAGCAAAGGTCGCTCTTTGCATGCTGGGAAGCACATGGCAGGGAATCTGCAGAGACGGCTGATAATTATATGGGCTCAGCTGTGGGCCTTGACCTGAACTCTAAAGTCCAAAATATTGCCTCCCGCACACAGATACTCTGCATTAGGGTGCTCTTCTGGTCTCCGAAAGGGGACCACAGTAAAGGGAACTGACTGAAATCGCACTGCACAGTGATAACATGCTGCACTGCAGCGACGAAGCTGGTCTCCTGTTACTCTGATACTTCCGGAAGGTGCTTGATTATTGACATACTAAATGATGATCTCTATAGCCACGTCACTGTACTCCACACACATTACACCAGCCCACAATGTTTAATTTACATCTTAATTTTACAACTACTGATATCATCACTTTCATTTTACTGTAATATTTTATGTTTTTTTTTTGTTATTTCAGTCTTAATTATGATAATCTATCTTTTAATATATTTTGTCTTTCCCAGAAGCTGGTGGAAAAATTATTTCACTACACATATGTAGCTGAAGGGTAACGGTGGGAAGCTGTGGGTAACATCAGCTTCACTATCCAGTGTTGTGTTAATGATCATGATCAGCAGGGGACATTCTTAGATATTAAAGTCGTTTACTCCGGTATTTGCACTCTGGCTGTGAATGCAGCAGCTGTCTACAGTGTAACAGGCAGGCAGATAGACAGACAGACTGACTGGCAGGCAGGCAGGCATATAGACAGACAGACAGATAGACAGACAGGTCTAGGAGGGCAGCATGAGGCTGTGGGACCCTTATAAATACTCCTGCTTCCTGCAAGGTTTTATGTATTTTCTCTCCTGGATCAAAAAGCTCTCTCCCTTCCTCCATCTCTGAGCTGCAGAATGGCATATGTCACTCAACCTCTGCACACTGCACGCAGTGATTCGCATACGCCATAGGACGCTTGGCCCTTTGCCTCTTTCCTGATCCAAGCTTTCAGGGTCTCCATGGGTAAACAGCAGCCTGGTGCCATGAGGAGGGTGTGGAGGAGGAGGAGAAGCTTCATGCTGTAGTAATACCAGCCACATTTAAATCAACATGTAGGAAAAAGATCACCTGAGCTGCAAAACATATAGAAATCCAGTGGGGGGCGCTGTGTGGCTCAATGAGTTTGGATGCTATGTCTGTGATCAGAAGGTCACCTGTTCAATGAGTGATGTCACTATTGGGCCCCTGAGTAAGGCCCCTAACCCCCAGTTACTCCAGGCACTGTTTGGCCCTGCTTTATGTCTTATAAATCTAATGTTCATTCACTTAATAGAAATGATGTGCATCACTGATGGAAGGTAAGCAGGTACTTAATAACAGTGATAAATTTAGTATCTTACTTTTAACAGGGTTTTAAATACATATATAAAGAAAGCTGTGACTGGAAAGTAGTTCATACACAAAATGGTACAGATGGCCGAAAAAGCCCATCTGTCTGTGTCTGTCTGCCGTCTCATTCGAAGCCAAAGCGGGTCGTGCCTCCCACTTCACCTGGTGTCAGTCAGAACCATCCGATTGATTTTCCTTTTCAGGCTTCATTTCCAGGTGCCCCTTAACATTCAGCCAGTGCCATGGACGTGAAAACATACCTGATGAAAAAGCGCGTGGAGGCCAGCAGCCGTGGCAGCCAAGAGGGGGAACTGAGATTAGTGGGTGAATGTATCTGCCGTTCGGGCCCACAGCGGTCCCAGGCCCCCCGGTGCCCGAGGTTCTGTCAGACGGCCTCTGCTGCTGCACGATTACGTGATTACAGTGCAGCCAATTTATACCCATATGACCGCTGCTGATTTTTTTTATCTCATACTGTTACGTTTACCGCTGCTACATCTGATGTATGATTGCGCTACTGCACTTCAGTTCAGGATGCTCCACTGTGATCAGAAGGTTTCCAGTTTGAATCCCTGGGCTGGCAGAGTGATGTCATTATTGGGCCATTGGGCAAGGCCCTTAACCTGTAATTACTCTACTTTATATTCAGGGTGATTCAATCTGATCACAAATTGTGCTCTAGTGATGTATGTCTGTTTCTGTAATTCTAAAAGGATTTTAAGCACATAATATTTTCCCAGAGGTTGTCAGATCATAAATATTCTGCAGTCGGTTTTCATATCTGCATTCAGTTCATTATAGTAATAATAACTTTGGTGATCCAGTTCCCAGGCAGTCATCCTGGACGGAACTGGTCAGGGGGGTGGGTGGAGCCCATCCAGGGAGCACAGGGTGCGTAACTGGGGTCCCACCATAGATGCTCCAGCACAGAATTAGCAATTAGCAACTGGTTGATTAGCAGCTTAGAGATGGCTCTCAAGTTTTCTACATTTTAGAATAAAAGTGGACATCAAACCTATGGAATAGCGCCCCCTGCCTGATTGGCTTATACATACTTGGCAGCCACCAGAACATTCTGGGCGCTCACTGGATGCTTTTCCTTTACTCTCCAATCCAGCTCATCCCAAACCGTGTCAGCTGGGTTTGGCCCAGGTGACTGTGCTGGCTGGTTCCGTCACTCTCCTCACACTTCAGAGCGCCCCCCCACCCCCCCCCCCCCCACCAAGCCCAAACCATTGCCATGTGTCAGCTGCTGTAGGACTGGCTATAGCGACTTGCCTGGTGACCTTGTCTGCCCTGGACTCACTGACCCTTGACCCCGAGTCTCCTCGGTGACACAGTGGCTGGAATGACAAGAATCTCTGTTCTGTTCTTCCTATACTTGGCCAAGTCTGCCTCCCCCCCTTCCAAGCATTGCCCCCATGGTCATGTGTGAAGTACCCAGTGTTTCATTCCAGGACCTAAAATATCCACCTTGGCCGTCCAGGGAGTCCCGCTCCGCAAGACGGCCTTCATGTCATAGCTATGCATGTGTGTCATGGGGGAGGGCCGTTAAATAAAATGACTTATAGTCAGACACAATTTCTAAATGATTTTAATTAATGATGCACTTTAAAGAAAAAGAAGAACTAGAAGAGCCTCTTTCCAGAAAAGACTCAAATTGGACTTTGGCTGTGTTCAAAATGTCCACTCGTTTGCTCGTTCACTCACTCTATAGTTTTCACTACATAGAACACTCACTAGGGGATGAAGGCAGACAATGGTGGGTGTATTTCGTACACTAGAGGAATGTTATAGTGCTACATAATTATGCACCAGGAATTTGTAATTGTTATCTCTGTCACAGAAACGAGTGCCAGAACATCCCCTCTGGTGTTAAACTATAATGTCGAAAAATGTACTTGTTACATTGTTGTGTATCTACAGTATATGTTTTGTGTTAGTACAACTTGTTCATTATAGTAATAAAAACACACCAGAACTCTGGCACCAACATTGCTATTTTTGAATAAGTACAGTACACATTGTAATTGACATGCATTTACAACCCTTAAGCAAAAATTAAATAAAACTTTACAACACAAATTTGTGCACACGTAACTCTGTTCATAACATACTTGACTGTACTGCATCCAACTACACAAGCACAATGGGGACTGCAGCTGTAGCTATGGTATTTTATATTAATCTTCAACATACTGTATTGATTGTGTTAACGTTACCCATGTACATTTCGAACACAGCAATTGATGATGATGACGATAATGATGAGGATGACGACGACGATGGTGATGACGATGATGACAGCGATGATGACGATGATGATGAGGATGATGGTGATGATGATGAGGATGACGATGATGAGGATGATGGTGATGATGATGACGATGACGAAGGCTGCTGCCGAATGTGGGAAGCCAAACAGCATTGGTCTAATGAAAACATGCATCATTCCATAATCCTAAGTATGGGTTTTATATGTAGGCTAATTATATGCAAAAACTTTTGACTATCAATGAACTGAGCTTTGTTTTTGTTTGGTCGTTACACAAAAGTATATTTCAGGCATTTTATAAATGCTGTACATTTTCTGCCTGAAGGTTAAACAGTAGAGCATAGGGATTTAACATTCCATTTCATTATAACGTTCACATAAACCTGACATTTTTATACTCAGACAAACGATGTCTGAAGCCTACAGAATGGCACAGGTGTAATATTCATTGTTGAGATGTCATTTTTCTTTCATTTTGTAATTATGGGGACCCCAGGTCAAAATGAAACGTGGCTTTGATGGGTTTTTAAAATGTTACTACATGAATGCCGCAGTGCTATTACCTGTTAAAGTTTACAGGTTTGCAATGACTAGGCCTGATATTTCAGTCATATTTAACAGATTTTACTAGGTCACATGATTGGGGGGCAGGGCCTCAGAATTGCATTTCTTTCCACTTTGAGATTTCAGTCACTCTAGTCATTGATAAAACAAACATCCTGCTCTAGTCAAAGAATTTTTATTCTGTTCTTCAGCTCTATGATCCACTGAGGTGAAATATCTCTTTGGTCATAGAGCAAATGGAAAGTAATAAATATAAGAATATAAATATTGAGACATAGAGTATAAACATGATATTTTAAGACATGGACATTAAGACATAGATAAATTAAATACAGTTAAGCCACCTGACTTACTAGTCCTTAAAACAGACCCAGTCTTAGACTTGAACTCTGAACAAAGACACTGTGCTTCTTGTGAAACTTCTGAGGGAACCCTGGGCTTCGTGTTAAAGCCAGCTGCTCATTTTCAAATAAAACTAGATAAAAATATATTCCCCCATGCCCACTGCCCCCCTGCTCCTCAATCACATTAATGCAGTGTAATGCCAGTAAGCTCTATTACATTGTTGGCACCGTGATGGGAAGCACACTCAAACTGCAGAATCACATGTATGCCCCCCCCCCCTGTCCCCACACACAAAAACCACCCCCTGCCCTCCAAAGGATTTATTACTCAGCAACCCAGAAAGGCCAACCTCAGACAGCAGACGTATCACTCAATACTGACTCTGAAAGCAAGGAGGACCACGAGAAGGTGAGTGGACTTTCCTTCCTGTTGCAGTGGCGAAGAACGTGCTGTAGCATCTGTGTGATTTGCGGTTCTGAACTCAGTGCTGAGCACTTACACAGTCAAATCAAACTGAGAGGGTATCTGTCAGACTGTGGGACAGACTTCAACATGCAGTATATACATACATTCATGCAATTTGAGGAGAGACTGGGAATGACCCAGAAACCAGCCAGGTAAAGGGTGGAAGCAACTTCCTAATGACAGAGATGACTGTTAACTTATCTGACAGTTTCTCATAAATCGTAAGAAGACATCAAGTGACCTTCAAAAGGAACAGGAGACAGAGAGCAAGCAGGCTGTAGTTTGCAAAAAAAATATATATATATTTGCAGATGCACATCCATAAACTGAGAAATGAGTGAAACAAAAAATTGTGGTCACTTCATTTTTTTCGTGGCTGTGTGTGTGTGTGTGTGTGTGTGTGTGTGTGTGTGTATTTATACATATACATGACTAATGTGCCAATATGACAGAGTATAATGTGGAAATAGAGCAAGAGATGATAAATACAATTCTAGAATTTTTTGTCTGGTGTGAACCTCAGTGGGTTGAGATGCTATACCTGTGATCAGAAGGTTGCTGGTTCAACTCCCACTGTTGGCAAAATGACTTCACCCTAAACCCCCTACTGCTTCAGGGACGGGCTGCCCTTACTTTCTCAGAAAAAGCTGTCATTTTGTATGAAAGTATTTACTAAATAAATTAGTTGTAAAGATGCCCTTTCACTTCACTGGAACATTGCATGAACATTCATGTCTGACTGTGTAATTTCACTGAGAAGAAAAGTACAACTGAATTAAAGTAAAGCTACACAAGATTCAAATATACATATAACAGTAAATATTATCTAATTAACAGTTACTTACTAAAGTGTTCACCACCTTTACCTATGTGGCTTTAAATCATTTTAACCTTACTGGTTAAAATATTTGTTGATTTATTACAGTTAAGTGACGCCTTGATCCGGAAGCACAAAAATGCTTTCTTCCCCAAAACTTTTTTTTCCAGTAAATATTAGAAGTTTGTCACTTAATTGAGTTTCTAAGACCATCTTTCACTGCATCTGTCTATGTATGATGTATTAGACTAGCACAAAATAATTATAAAGCTTATAAATAGAAATGAAAATTCCTATCAAACTGGAAACATAAGCTTGCCGGCAGCACTGCGTGGCATGGCACACAATTTGCCCGTTTTTAATTTGATTTGTGCGTTTACTGACATATCAATTTTCGCCTGTGTCACCCTCGGATTGTGGGTGAGTTATATAGTGGGTGTCACTCTGTCATTCTGCTTCCTGGTGAGACGGGAGTGGGCGTGACTGTCAGGTAAAAGAGAGTCGGGTTCTGAAACAGAGAGCCTCTATCTGCCTCTAAAACAGAAACCTCTAAAATGGGGAGCCTCCATCCATTTATAAAACTATAAATCAGAGGGCCTCCATCTACCTCCAAAACAGAGGGCCACTATGTTTGTCAAGGGTCACCTCGGCATGTCTTTGTCCCATCCTTCAGCAATGACATGTGACAGTATATAACACCATAAAAACATTGCTTCCAAGTGCAGTTCAATTTTCTGGATTTTACCTCAGTTGGTCACAGTGCAACAGTGCCCCCTAGGGTTGCATCAGGGTAACTACAGAGCTGGGTTTTCACTATCTTGTTTGAGGCTGTCATAAATACCACAAAGTCGAGAAAACCAATACAATTTCGACCAATCCCACCCTGGACACAAACTTTTTAGACCTCTGCCATCTGGTAGACCCTACAGAACCCTGTACGCTTGCACAACCTGGCTGAGGAACAGTTTTTACCCTACGTCCATCACACTTCTTAACTCACAGTAGTGATCTCGAATATTTTGATGCAATACCCTAACATGTGCAATATCCATATTTATGTGAATTTAAACCACTTGATAAGCTCTACCTCTGTGAATTGCTCACCCACTAACTTGCAAGCACCTTATTGTGTGCAAATATAGTGTCTGTACATATTTTATTTTCCGATTCTATTTTATGCCTCGGATTCTATTTAATTGTAAGTTTACTGTGCATCTGCTGGCGTGTTCCAGACTAAGTCTCATTGTACTTACAATGACAATAAAGCATCTCTATCTTCATCTGTATATAAACTGGACAGAAACTGAATTTATGATGTTCCGTACATGTGATAGAGTAACACTGTTGCCTCACAAATCAAGGTTTGGGGGCTCAAATTCCACCTCTGCTGACTATGGCGGGGGTTTCCTCTGGCAGTCCAAAGACACGTATATAGGCAGCGTGGTGCCTTTAATAGCCCTGTGATGGACCTGCATCCTGTCCTCGGATGCTGTGCCTCTTGGGATGGACTCCAGTGCTGTGCCTCTTGGGATAGACTCCAGTGCTGTGCCTCTTGGGATGGACTCCAGTGCTGTGCCTCTTGGGATAGACTCCAGTGCTGTGCCTCTTGGGATAGACTCCAGGGCTGTGCCTCTTGGGATGGACTCCAGGGCTGTGCCTCTTGGGATGGACTCCAGTGCTGTGCCTCTTAGGATGGACTCCAGCACCTCAAAGACCTGAAGACGCAGCTCAGCAATTTTACATCACCGGAAAATGTCTGGAAAAAATATGAATAAATCTGTACCCCCTGAAAGGCAAACTCTGTATTGATGTCCACAGATTAAGCATCTCAGAATAAGGATTATTATGAAGCCATAACTGATTTCATGTTTGTATATGCGTCACACCCTGTGTGTCCTTCAGCTCTAGACGTCCAGGATTGTGGACCAGATGACCGCTGTAGCCAGTGCACGGGAACTCTGTACATTTTCTCTAAGCCTCAGTGTTTGCTTCTGTCTCTGTTTTTGTCTACAGCAAGGCACCTGAATTAGCAGCAAGTGAGAAGCCAGGGAGATGTGGAGGAAAGCTAAGGTTATGGACCAGACAGCGGCTGGTCAAGGTACGTACGGCCGCCACTGAGGAGTGTGAGGAGGGGGGCAGATACATCCAGGGGAGGGTATCTGTTTTCTGGGGTCACACTCAAACAGTCACTTCATCCCCCAGTTTAGTGACTGTTTGTGGCCAACTTGGGGCACAATGCAAGTGCGTGGTGAGCAGAGTGGAGGTAAAGGCAGCGGCTGAGCTCCTCATCGTTTTGACCTATATTCGCCTGTTCTTTGGCTGTGTTTGGTGTTTTCATCTTATACGGCGCCCTCCACAATTATTGGCACCCCTTCTAAAGATTTTTAATAAAATTTTAATTAATTTTTTTTTGGTGAAGTAGTTTCATAACACACAAAAAAAAATTTGAAAAATGAATATTAATATTAATGGGAAATATTCAAATAAATGTATTGAAAGAAAACCAAATCCTTCATCAATAAATTATTATTTAAAAAAACCACATGTATTGGCACCCCTGCATTTAATACTTTGTACAGCCTCCCTTTGCCAGTATAACAGCACTGACTCTTCTCCCATAACATTTTATAGGGTTGGAGAATACAGAGCAGGGCATCTGAGACCATTCCTCTTTACAGAATTACCGAGTCTCTCCAGGTCATCATGGTCCTCAGCCCTCTCCTGTGCTCTCTCCTCTTCAGCTCAGCCCACAGGTTTTCAATGGGGTTCAGGTTAGGGGACTGAGACAGCCATGGCAGAAGATTGATTCTGTGGTCAGCTATCCATTTTTGTGTTGATTTGGACATATGCTTAGGATCACTGTCTGGCTGGAAGATCCAACGACGGCTCAGTTTTATTTTCCTGGCAGAGGCAGCCAAATTTTGATTTAAATGTCCTGGTATTTCATGGAGTCCATAATGCATTGAACCCTAACGAGGTTTCCAGGGTCTTTGGAGGAAAAACAGCCTCACAACATCACAGAACCATATTTTACCTCATGTTTTTACCCCAGGTAATCTGGAAGTCATGGATTACATCTTGAAGGTTCCTATTCGCTCAAATCAACTCAGAGATGTACAGTTTACATGGCACGCATGTTTCAGTTACATTGTGTTCACTATCATTTCCAGTGGTGCAAATAATCATAGCACATTTGTTTTTGTTAAAAATAATAATTTCTTGATGAAGGATTTTATCATATCACCTTTATGATGTGAGGTTAGCAGATGAAATGCTTCCGAGAGGATCGACCTACCCTTCATTAGGGGGCATCTTGCTATACGTCTGTCTGGAGGTAGATGGCCGTCGGTTCTAAGGTTTCCGTGGTCGACCCAAATCCAAATCCTCAGCTTCTGCTACGATTGACCTTCTGCTGTGCTGCTTCCTCCTTTGTCCTCTCCAGGCCCTGATGAAGAAGAGTCCACCATGAGGAAAGGTTAGTGTGCTGTACAGCTTGGCAGCTCTATGAACCTGTTATCACCCTTTTCCCATCAAGCTTATTGTTAGATAAGCAGGATTTCTAAGGTTTTCACAGGAGGTCCAAGTCTTACAGGAATAGAATTAAGTGTTCAGTGTTGACACACCACAGCACACAACAACAAAACGCGTTCTCTGCATTTAACCCATATGCGACATAGCAGGGGGCAGCTAATTCAGCACCGGGGAGCAGTACCTTGCTCAGGGTACCTCAGTAGCGCTTTGCTGGTTGGGGATTCGAACTCGCAATCATTTAATTACAAGTGCACTTCCGTAACCATTAAGGCACCGCTGCTGTGTTCAGGTTCTTTGGAATTAGGTTCTAAAATGAGGTTCTCATCATGGTTATGAAGCATGCAGGAATATTTCATAGCATGTTTTGAAAAGAAAAATGATCCTTCTTACATGGAGAAGCTTGTTTTTGTATGAATAATATTTTGTATATAGTACAGTGCTCACAGAAATTCTGTGAAAAAAGTCCATTGACAAGCAATGTGTAACATTCAGATGACATTTTTTAAACTCCCTCCACCACCTCCCCCCTTTAAGGAGGAATACTTTATTTTTAATTTCCATTGCAAGTTTAAAGCATGAGGTGAATGTTTTATGTTATTGTAAATGTGTTGCTAATTAAAACTTTAAACTACTGCTAATTAAAAGTGAGACTGCTTGTCAATGAACTTTTAACTCAGAACTGCCGTTTTTGAAGTATAATTTGGGTTTCAGTTTATTTCTATTTGAAATTAATGTTTTATTTAAAGCTACTGGTTGTTTCTAAGTTATGTTTTTTGTAAACAAATAATGATTTTTCTTTTTTGAACCCAATAAATTTGCAATATTTATGCTGAATTGAGCAAAAGTCCCAAGACTTTCTGTGAGCATTAGGCACTTTCACAGCAGTGGAACTTTTTTCAAAAACCGACAGCTATGGTAGCAAATTCTGCCAAAGGAAGCAAAAAATGGCAGGACGTCCGTGCCAGCGCTTATTAGTGGGATTTTTTATTCTGTGGAAAACAAATGTGAAAATTGATCTGCTGGCCAGATTTAATAAGAATCATAAACATGTCGAACAGGTTATATAAGTAAAATATAAATATAAAGGTTGTGTCCCATTTTTATCATGATCGTCCCCCCCATAATTAACAAAACAACTTATTTACCCTCTGTTGTCTTGCCCTGGCAGTGTAGTTTTGTATGAAATTATGTGTGAAGTTTAACCTTTTTCTCTCATGCCCGTGTTTATTTAAAATAAAGATCCCAGTTCCTGTAGTGTGGTATGAAAGTGACACACAAAGGTGGCCAAGAGACAAAATTTCCCAGTTGAGACAACCCAGGGATTTGTAAAATGGAACCAAGCTCTGGAACTTTGGTGTGAAAGCGCCGAATATATATCAGTCTTTAAACTACCTAAAGATTACCAACAGTGGCACAGTTCATGGATCACAGTATTGCTCGTCATTGGATGGGAATCTCGCGTGATTCCTGAGCACTGCAATGTGCTGTGATTCCTGAGCACTGCAAATGTGCTGCTCAAAGCTGCCCGTAGCCCTTTGCTGTAACCCTCCTGGTTTTGTCCTTGACAGTTAGCATCAAAAAGAAATCCCGGGTTCCTGGGGTGATGATCACGCAGTTTGTGGAGGAAATCCCGGAGGGGAAGAGCACACCAGACTTCACCCGAAAGCCCATCGCGATGACGATACAGGAGGGTGAGGTTCTGGGACACTGAATGAATGATGCTTTGTTGCGTTAGGATGCTGTCAGGAAAGCCAAGCTTGGTGGAAATTTTGCAGAGGAAAGTAAATGCAGACCATTAAGACCCTCTTTGATAGCACTGAAAAGGCACACTATTGGAAGAACTGGAAATTTAACTGGAAATTATCTGTTACTTTCACATTTAACACATTTCCCAGTTTTCAAACTTATGCAGGTTCATAAATTGGATCGCACAACCTCTGCACGAGAAGAGAAAAGACAAGATAAAATAATGCATAAGATGACATGAGACGAGACGATGAAATGTTAGAACTTTATTTATAAGATAAAGCTTGATTTAACAAGTGTGTGTGCTTGTGCAAAGGGTGTAAAAGATGTGCAAAAATGCACAATAACAGCAAAACATGCAGAAAATTAGTAAAACAGATGTGAGCGGACTACAGTCTTGGGCCTTGGATTATGCGCAATGACCGTTGTTTTGTATCAATATACAATTTGCAAAAATTTACAGTTTACAAAATTTTATACACTGACAAAATGGTTTGCGAATTTGCCTCAGTATCTAAGGACGGCCTTGTTAATGCCAACATGGTCCTTAATAAACTTCTATAGTATCGATAGTGTTTCAGTCGCCCCGTGAAGCTGCAGCATTGTCACACAGGGACACCCGTATGTCTGTTGCAGGTAAATTGGCCTTCTTCAAAGCCGTCATCACTGGCCACCCCACTCCAGACGTCACGTGGAAGAGAGCCAAAGGGGACTTACTGGACCCCGAAAAATTCAGGACTAAATACGACCAGAAAACGGGCGAATACTCGTTAGAGGTGAGTCTTGTGAACCTCCATGCGTAAGACAGCAACCGTAGCATCGTAATCATGAAAACTGTCATCCACCTAAAGGGCTGTTCAGTATTCAAACAGTACTGTAGTGGAGCATGTTCACAATTATCCGAAATCCTTGTGTTTACATAAGCCTGCTGGATGATTTTTACAATTTGTTTTATACTATGTTTTTTTGTGCACATGAGTGTAAAAAGAACAAAAAAATGAAAGGAACTGAACCTAATAGCTATTTCTGCGTAACTTTTGGCTAGGTTGGGTAGGTTGGCATAATCTTGCTTTTTGCTGATTTTTGTGGGAATGCACTCCAAAGTAAATTAAATACGCTGTTGATTTAACAGATCATGACAGTACGGGGGGAGGATGCAGACACATATAAATGCTTTGCTCTTAATGAGTTTGGGAAAGCTGTTTGCACAGCCACCTTGAACGTCATTGAAGGTAAGAGGAAGAGGCAGGAGTATTTATGTGGAGTGTAGTGGAGTATTTATGTGGAGTGGAGTGGAGTATTTATTCTGTGAGTGTGTGTCTGTGTTTTTAATTACCACATTTTAAAAGCTGTTACGTTTTAGTTTGTGGGGACATTTTTCTTGTGAAAAGGACTCTTAATGCTGCAGCATTCAAAGCCATTTTGGACAATTTCATGCTCCAAACTTTGTGGGAACAGTTTAAGGATGGCCCCTTCCTGTTCCAACATGACTGCACACCAGTGCACAAAGCAAGGTCCATAAGGACATGGATGAGTGAGATGGTGTGGAGGAGCTTGACTGGCCTACACAGAGCCCTGACCTCAACCTGACAGAACACCTTTGAGATGAATTAGAGTGGAGACTATGAGCCAGGTCTTCTCGTCCAACATCAATGCCTGACCTCACAAATGCTCTCCTGGAAGAATGGTCAGAGATTCCCATAAATGCACTCCTACACCTTGTGGACAGCCTTCTCAGAAGAGTTGAAGCTGTTATAGCTGCAAAGGTTGGGCCACCTCCTTATTAAAGCCTATGTATTAAGAATGGGATGTCATTAAAGTTCATGTGTGTGTAAAGGCAGGTGTTCCAATACTTTTGGCAATATAGTGTAGGTGAAAATATTACAAAACTAGGTAAACCAGAAACAGATACATAAACAAGAACCAATATGGAAATAACATGAACGCAAAGAGGGAAACCAAAACTCAAAATGTCCAACAAACTTGAGACTGGCCTCTTGCCAACACCTCAAACCCTCAGCAGTAGGGGAGCTGAGCCTCATGTTCTGCCAGGCAGAGACCCAGAGAGCAGGAGAAAACAACAGGGACGGAATCAGCGCAGAACTAGGGAAGTACAAAACAGAATGGCCAGCACCACCTGCTGGACAATCAGGGAAATGACAGACAAGGCCAGGACCGATCCTGACACCCGTCGTCTCTTTTCTTCTTTTTCAGTTGGTTTCAAGAGGCACAAAGCAAAGGAAGAGACAGATTCAGGTGAGTCATCAGATGGAGGAATGAACAGCCAATGAATGGTGTGAATGAGGAGCTACCAGTCTATCTTCTGTATCAACTCTACAAAAGTGGTTGTGTTTCTTTTTTTTAGCTCTAAACAGCAATCCTGCTGAATTCCGGAAAATGCTTAGAACACGGTAGGTGAACATTTTAGAGACTAATTCCAGAGATTTTTTGACATGCATTTTGATAGATAAATTTATAAGTCAGTGTGATATTTCTGCAGCTAACAGCTTTTTCTTACATTTTTGCCCAGACCTTGGAATAGAAGTCACTCATATTTAAAATGGAAGAAAGCATTCACTAAGAATCTCTCTCTCTCTCTCTCTCTCTCTCTCTCTCTCTCTCTCTCTCTCACTCACTCACTCTCTTTCTCCTCAGTGCTGGTGTTGAAAAGTGTGAAAAGAAAGAGGAAACCATAGATGCGAAGTTCTGGGAGCTGCTCCTGAGTGCCGACAGGAAGGACTACGAGCGTCTCTGTGCGGAATACGGCGTCACAGACTTCCGGTGGATGCTGAAGAAGCTGAATGAGATGAAGAAGAAGAAGGAGGAGGAGCAGGCAAAGGTCTTCCAATCATACTGGGCCATATGGGGCTCTTATTCTTTGTGAAGTCATTCACAAGTGTCCATTATTCGAGAAGGTTTTCATTCACACTCCTCATTTACCAAATAATCCATGCATGTTCTAGGCAAGTTGTTCTCAAACGTTTTGGACCAAGTACCACTTTGGATCAGCCCAAAGCATGCAAGTACCACTTAGGTAGGGTCAGTGGTGGAAAATTACTCAGTTTTCTACTTAAATAAAAGCACAAATAACACACCAAAATGTTACACAAATAAAAATGTCACCAGTAAAATACTACTCAAGTAAAAAATACCTGGTTTTAAAGGTACTTATCTCGTATTTGTTACTTTACAATATCTTAAACTGAATATGATTACTTATATCAAATAATTTAACATGAATACATTTTTAATTGCTATTTTGCATATTACCTGGCACTCTGAGTACCGCTGGTGGTGTGTGTACCACTGTTTGTGTACCACTGTTTGTGAACCACTGATTAAGGCTAAATATAACATTTTTCACATACATTTCTGGGAGTACTGTGTCTAGAAAAATAACTCAATGTTCATCAGAGACATCACATGATCTCTTAACAATGCTATAACAGGTAGATCCATCCATCCATCCATCCATCCATTTTCTGAAACCGTTTATCGTAGTCAGGGTCGCAGGGAGCAGGTAGATGAAAAACGCAAATTATTCTCCAAGAAATAACCCAGTGACTCAGACAGCTCATGACATTTAAGGTCCATAAATCCATGGTAAATCTGTGGAGATATTATGGGATTTGCTGCTCGTGCTACCATCTCTCTACCTTCAAACTCCCCTGCCAGTTGTGAGTAATCTCATGGTAACACCACCCCTGCAAGTCAGAGTCAAGCACAGTGTGTGGGATAAAGAGTGTCCATTAAAACATTAACAAACGATGTATCTTGAAACCATAGACACTGAATGATGTAAAGAGTATTGTATAGCCTTGAGGTTGAAGCCGATGTATCAGATGGGGGGGGGGGGGGGGGTGATTTCCGGGTTGATTGGGGTGGTGTAGCCTACCTAGGGTGCCACCTGAGCTTTGACTGGCACTACTACAGCGCCCCCTATAGTTTCACCAGCTCTGCTAATCACATTCCAAGTAGGTCCAGCGACAGTGGCGAAAACTAGGTCAGTTGTCCCTGTGCCCTGGGCCAAGGAGGGACCGATGCGGCCCAGTAACCTTTAAATCATCTGCTGGAATAATTTGTGAAAAATACCCATTTCAGAAAACTTTACATAGTATGTGTGAATCACATGAAAGCTGTCTATTTTTATCTTATTAATTTTCCTCGACGTTGCCGCCGTATAATGCTAATGGTCTGGTCCACTCTTTTAGTACCGGTCTGACAAACCTGCCAAAAGTAACAGCTTACAACGCGGAAAAAACAGCAGCACCATATTTAGTTTTCTAGCAGATTTCTGTTAAATATGCCTGAGACGTCAGAGAGGTGATAAACCTGGTTTAACGTTACATAGATTTCCAGCAGACCCAGAAACATGCAGTAAGTGGACTGTGGCAGTCAGCCGAGTAAATTGGCAGCTCACTGAATAGATGTGTTTGTGTATTATTTATATGTCTGACTTATTTAAATTCGATTTCAGTTTGCAGTGAATTCAGTTTGTGAATTTAATACGATTAGGAAGCAATCCTTTCCAGGAATTTCCCATACACCAGTCCCATGTACATGACCAGCCACAAAAAATACTTGTATCCATCTAAACTTTTATAAGTTTTAAACTGCTCATGTGTATGTCGAGCTGATGATGTCATAATACTTCAGGTCGGGGAGGTTACCCACGATGCAGCGCTGCAGGGGTGCAAAAAGATCACTCAGTAGCAAGTACGAATTGTGCATAACAGCTTTGTTGAGTTTCTGTTGAATCTGCTATTACTTGAGATTTATAAGTTATCTAAAAGACTAGATAAAGGAAGACGCTATTGTCATTTTGTTTTTGAAAGATGAAATTGTAGGGTGGG